AAGAAATGTTTCAACTATCTCTTATATCGCTTTAAAAATAAATATCTCATACGATAAATGATAGAATTCATAAACGCTTACCTTTAAGTTTGGTTATAACTCGTCTTGTTTCAATATTAATCTTAACACTACAAATCCAGGTCTCTTGAAAAAATTGTAGACACATTATACTTTGGTATGCGTTTGATGCTTCTACTAAAACAAATAATAAAAAATTACTAGTTAATGGTACACGAAGAAACGATAAAATGGCTATTTTTTAAACTAAAATAGAATTATAGATGATAACGGTAGGCGGCCAGCATTGACTGAATTTATTGTTCTGTCGAGTAAGAGGATACCGATATCAACGAATTAAAGATATATAAAAGTGAGATCATTCAAAAACCATTGACAATTACCTGATTTTGACGTCAATTATAGCAGAATAATGACACAGTATTCAAACTATTAAAAAATTACTGTTTTTTGATATCGTTATACCAACACCGTTTAATAACAATAAAATAGTTTTTAGTTTACACAGAGAAGACACAATAAACTCAATAATTATTGTGGTTTTACTAAAATATAAATCAAGTTAATTTTCTCTGTGATAATATAATAATATTAAATAATCTATGCCAGTTAGTGTAGATAAGAGAATTACGTCGTCTATGATAACACGGTGTTATAAACAAAATACATTTTATGAAATGTTGTAGAATGTAGAATGTAGAGTCGGAAGGACGAGTTGAGAATTTTGGTTTTGGTTTCAAGATTATCCAATGTATATTGAAAGTGTTACTAAGCTTCCAGTTTTGTGAATTTATACTTTTCAGTATATTTTTCATGAAAAATTAATTTTTTGATTTTAAAAACTTCTGGTAAAAACATATTGAACTGTTGAATCTGTAAATAGAAGGACGAGACAAATCTTTTGGTATAGGTTTCAAGATGAATAAGATGATCTAATGAATTTGTCTATGGAGTTGAAGACTATTTTGCATGGTCTCATGTCGGTGTTTCATTGTATGCTTTAATTGTTGCAAATGTGATATTGCTTTTATTATGTTGTAGAATATTAATGTTGTATGTATTATATATTTTTAAATCCGTAGGAGCCGGAGCATAATTGAATACGGTGTAGACTGTAGATATTATCATTATTACTAATGGGTTCATTAATTATACTAAAGGATATTTGGGTGGCAGATAGGGAGACAGAGATGCTGTGATTAACGACCGCGTTATTGCACGCTAAGGACGTATTCGGTCTGGATTGTTGTTTTGTGTTTTGTTTATTGAGTTCAAATAGTTCAATGAACGATGTGATATTATTGATAATCTTGTTTGTAGATTTGTATGTTATGTATTTTTTAGAATTTCGGGTTGTTGCACCTATGTTCTAAGGTTTTCTTTTAAGTGAGTGTCATTTGGGGGAGTTGGCGGTCATGTTGGGAGTCTTACGTTTAAATAATGTTCATAATAACTGAAGAATAGAAACAATTTGCATAGATAAGTTTGATAAAGACGCACCCGCGTAAAAACGTTAAACGTTCGAAGGTTGAATACTGGCACTATAATTTATCGATTTGGGTAAAAGGTGTTTAATAAAAGAGGATTTGAGTCTCCAAAATTCCGGAAAATTTGACATTCGTAAAAAATTTCATTCGGGATAAAGAATTTCCGGTTTTCAGATAAAATACTATTCGGGAAAAAGTTCATTCGGCAATTTTGATTCGGGAAAAACGACGGTTACCCATTCACATACGTATCGCAATAATACTTTGGTATGGTCTGAAAGCGTTCCATTACCAGACGGAGGTAGAATACTATAATATGGGGTGAGCGAATACCAGGGGCTGATGAAGAGGGTGCGCGTTTTTCGCCATAATCGGGCATTGTCGGTCAAACTATGGTAAGTTTTCCTTTACTTTTGTATGAAAAAGTCGCTTTGACTTTTGAATCCCTATTCCTTCATATATTGATTTACGTTGGTATTTGTTTTTGAAATATTAATTATTTATGATTTTGTTTATATTAATTTTGTTGTTGTTCATTTGAAGTATTTGAAGATTTTTATAACATTCTTCAATTATAATTTTTAGTGTTAAATTGTGTATATCATATTAGTATATAGTATATAAATACTCATTTAATGAGAGACTGAATTTTGTAAATTCTGTCAATTGCTATAAAAACCTATACTAAAATCAGAATTATGATAAATTTAAATAATACTTTTATCGTTTAAAATTATAAGAAATCTAATGTTTTGAAAGTACGTAGTTAATATATCGTGTACAAAACTTGACTCTTGTATATTTATTATGCAGTAAACAGAATATATTTCCACATAAAAGTATAATAAAGAATTTGTTCCTACACAATAAATGATTTATAATTTATACATGATTTTCCATCATTATATGGTTGTCTATATATATATATTTGTACAATCAGAATTTATCGGTTGGACTTAGTTTTGAAGTTGTGGCCTTTTGGAAGTTAGACATTTTGTTTTTATGCATTCGCGATTCGCGCATCACTCTAGTTTACTGTGCCTATTACGAATATTGATGTTTTTTTTTTTAAAACTTATGAGCTTCAAGCCTTCAACGAGTTAAGAATAGTGGTGTAATCAGAATTTGTTAGCCGGACAGTCTAGAGATGAGTAAATTACCAGCAATTTTACTTCTATTACCACGCATTTAATATCTAACATAATAATTTTAATAAAAAATTATGTTTTTAATTGTAATATTTTTTGAAATATTAGATATTCTGTAGAAAGTTTATTGGATAGTCATAAATAGGGCTGGGATTTGTATGTGAATATATATTTTTACTAAAATATGATAAATTAATTATTGTAAATGATAAATTCGTTTCACATGATTTGCAATTAAATAAGACATATTATATTTCGTTATAAATACATATTTTTATATAGTTTGTAAAATTTCCGCTATTTTTTTTTACATATTTTATACATTTTAACAGTTTTAGTGATTTTAATAGTATTATATATTTATATTTTGATAATAGTACTCGTAATAAGTGTATGAAAGTATCAGTTAAATATTAAGAACTTGATTTTAGTTTATTTGTTTCTGTTCGATAACCATACCTTGATTAGCTTTGTCAATTCTTTGATTATACTTTATGTTCAACAATTATTTGACAAAATATATTTACGAATTTACAACAATGTCAGTACTTGCATT